ATAATCTTTTTTGCTTTTGGTGGTCTTCATAATTTCCCACTAACACAAGCATCTTTTACATAATTAATATAAGAGTTTTATAAAATTTAATGTAAAGTTTATAAAAAGAGTTTTATAAATTTAATGTAAAGTTTATAAAAATAGAGTTTTATAAAATTTAATGTAAAGTTGATAAAAATGGAGTTTTATAAAAGAGTTATTATTTATTATAACAATCTACTTTGATTTGAAGTTTAATTATAGCATTCAAGTTTGATTCTTTTAAATTTAATTAGAGCATTATACTTTGATTTGATTTTATATGGTATCATAATTTAATTTGATTATAGTTATAACGTTGTACTATACTATGTTGCTATTAACGTCAATTTATATCGTAGTGTATGAGTTTCGATCCTATTAGCGTCAAGTAATCTTGAGTAGGGTTTGAATGAGATTGCGAGAGGTTTCGTTTGTGATCTTTTTGAGTGTCCGGCTTCGCAACGCAAGGTCCATAGACCCCGTTAAGCCATGATTTAGTGTCCTACACAATCCCGATGATTGTGCAATAGTGTTTTAATTTTTGCTTTGGTTCACTTGTTTAGCACTGCTAAGGCTAAGGAAAATCAAACACATGAACTTTCCAAATAATGTTTTCTCATTAAAATAGCGAATTATACAGTGATTACATAACGTAAACCCTATCATACAAGGGTTAATGGAGTTGACCGGTTTGACTAGTTGACTTTGTTTGACTTTGACTTGAACGAAATTTGATGGTTGTCACAAATTAGACTTTTGTGATTGTTGTTCTATTGCCATGAGTAGCTAAACTCTTTATATTGGTTAACTTTGGTTAAAACCTTTGAATGTTTGTGGGTTTTTGAAGGATTCATGCTAGATTATCAATTATCTTATGTTTATGGTTCTAGATCATATTTCTTATGCTTGTTGAATGCTTTGATCATGAGCTTGGACTGAATGAGCTATTGGTAGTTTATTTCTTTGGTTTTGCATTGAATCATTGAATTAACTTAGAACAAGGGCTTTATGATGGTAAAAATCATCTCTAGTTTATGAATCATAGCTCCTTTATGGATGTGTAAGCATTGACATCCTCTAGGAATTGGGGATTCCTTCTTTCTTAAGGCTATTAACTTCTTGGGTTGCAGTTGCTTCAATTAACCCTTGATCTTGATTAAGAGGGTGTTTGTGGGCTTCCCCAACCTCCATACTACCTAAGAGGAATCTTGGCATATCATGCTCATGATTGCTATAACCATTTGGGATGAATGATAAGCTTCATTTGAAATCCTAAGATAAGCACACAAATGTTCATTTGTGTTGAATTGCCTAGTTAACCAACTCTCTCCACTTGTGAGCATCTCACTATCTGCTTAATTGCAAGTTTTTAGTTATTCAAGTCTTTTAGTTTTCAAGCAATCATAAACCACCCCCCCCCACCCTTTTAGTTTATTGTAGTTAGTTAGTTTATTTACAAATGTTCTTTTAGATTGCATTGGGGATTGAATACAACCATTTCCCGAGGATCGATACCCCTTTTTACCATTATATTACGTTTTATTTGCAAACAAATGGTGTAATTTGCTTGGTGGACTTGACATCCCACCAATGACCAATGATGGGATTGAGCCTATTGTTTCTCATCCATGGGTTGGGGAAAGGACTTTATTGGAACTAACCCACTACATGTTAGCATATACCATATAGTTGTTGAAGTTAATGTACAACCCATTAGGTAAGCAGAGGTACTTTGATCGGAGGAAGGCATGGATAAATAGGGAGTTAGGGGCACTACAAATTTTACTTTTACCCGAAGTACATAAACATCGAGTTTTTACCAGTATTATGTGGTTGTTGTGTTGGTGATCACGAAGACCGCCTCGGCCACCACGGTGTTCATTATTGACATTTTGGCCTCGATTTGAGGCAACGACTGTGTACTAGTGCTGACGGTAGGGGTAGGAAGCATTTTTGTGGTTTGATTGGTGTGGTCTGAGACATTCTTTATTCCATGACAAGGATTATAGAGCAAGCTTCAACGAACACTAAAAGAAGAAATTTGTGGCGAATAAGGATGCAATATAATCAAAGTTTGGAGATAACCCATTGATCAGTTAGCTGAAGGTGTTCTTTATGGCAAATAACGAATCAATATTTTCAAGGAGATCTAATATGTTCTTGATCTAAGATGTAATAGTTGGTGGTTGTCGAGTCTCCAATAGCCATGCGTCTCAACTTATTATCGAGTTGCATAACCTCTGTGTTTTTGTTGTTATTTCTAAGAAATAAAGGTGACGTTAGATTGAAAATAATCTATAACATGGATTGCGAGATCGTAATATATATCTAAACGTAGTGGCCAATTTTCTTCCATTCGGGATCATCATATTTTTTTTACTTTGTAGCATTGCATGTGTCGTCAATGTGACTAAGCACTCTGAACGGGTACAAAATAATTTCAAATAATTCTCACTATGTCTCGTTGTTTGGGAAATTAAGGTCGAAAGTCAATGGGATGTAGGCTTTGATATAATTGGCTATGTTGTAGGGTTTTTTTAAATGAGAGGAAAACAAAGAAGAGGAGCCGATGTCCATCAAATCTTGAAGGAAGAGAGATTGGCGGTGGTCTCACGGTGACATTTTTTTTTTGGAAAAGAGGAAACTTAATAGAACTTCTTGGCAAATTTATTAATAAATATAAGTAAAATGAAGTACAATGTTTATGAAAAAACTGAAAAAACAACACCATGGAAAAGTGAAAACCCCCTAAGCTAAAAAGGGACAACACACAAGACATACAAACCATATAAACTGCCTAAACTATATCCAAAACAGAAAGAAGACATACTCATCCTTGATCAATTAGGTCGGGGACACAACCACCATGAGAGGGGAATGTCTTTATCTAGTCTTTTGTGTGAAAGTGTGTCAAACATGTTAGTAGAAACTACATTCTTATCAGTATCCCTAATAATCGGCTGGTATACATAAGATATTTTTATGGAGGGTTCTTTGCCTCTAAGAAAATTCGATATGATACCATATCAGATTGTGATTTCCACATGAATAATATCTTCACAGTAATTAGATATAAAGACAAGCATACCAGGATACTAGTGGGTTATACAACATGAGCCTCATTATACATAATATATATACTCTACCACGGAATGAGGCGTCATTATACATCATCTATATACTTAAACACGAAGGGCATTAAGATTTGCGGAATTATAACATTCTTTTTTGTTCGGTAAGAACTATAATGTGTTTCTTCTAATTAAAGACTATGATATAGAATTGTATTATCGTTTTCTCATTATGATCATAAGGTAAATTAAAAGTTAAGCACATATTATGAACATTGCCGTGTGTGCACATTTAGTCACTGAAGTTTTATTTGTACTCAATTTACAATTAACTCTTTTATTGTTAGAAAAAATACTATTATGATCGGGTATTGTAGTTTTAGCTGGTTTCCGATGACTCTAGCATACATTGTCATTTTTTCTGGCCAAAATCAAGTTTTGTCGTTTTCTCCGGCGAACATCAAAATTTTTTAAAAAAATATCCAGATCCAGACTCACACACCTTTATGTTGTTGGGTTTGATTTGCAAGTTTGCGTGTGCTAAAGAAATCAAATCCAAAAAATTCGGATCCAATAAAAGTCCATGTGCGAAAGCAAGATGAATTAAGGGTTTGATTTGTAGGTCCACTGGATCTAGGTTTGGAACTCGTTTCTTGAAGGCTCCCGTTTTAATCTTCATCGATTTCTCGAAAAACCTAAGTTTGCAACTCATTTTTTGCCATTGAATCTAGGTTTGGAACTCGTTTTCTACGGACCTTCAATCTTCATTGACATGTTCTTGTTTTTTGATGGATTCAACTCTAAACATGCCTTCAATGCTCGGTTTATTGTTCTTGTTTGCATAAACACTTCTACTTCTTGTTTGCATGTAGTGTTCCATTTTGAAGAACCCATTTTTTTGACACAGACACAATTTGTTCTTGATTTTGAGTGGATCTACCTCTATGTTCTTGAGTTTTGGAATCGATCAAAGCATCTCCATAGGTGTGTTTCTTTAACCTGCATTTGGTTTGGTTGCCGAAAAATTTATGATGACCGGAGACTCATCAAAGATGCCAAGGTCTCCGGAAAGCGGTTAAACTTATATTAGCCGATAAAAATGGTGATTTATGAACACAATAAGATAGTTTAATAGTAAAACGCATATAAAAAACACTTAGGTGACTAAATGTGTACAATGCAAAATTCATTATCTTTACAAGTCATTAATCCCAGATAAAAATGACGAAAAAAAATATATCATTCAAATATACTTTAAGTTTAAAACATTTTTTCATTCAACCTTAATTGATTTTATTAAATGAATGATTAATTTGACCAAAAGAAAAACAAAACAACAATTTAAAAAATGGATTTTATATTTCACTGACTTCAATGTCGGTTCACATTTTCTTTTGTTTGCATATACTGAAAATATATTAGTAAAATTCATTTCTGTTATTCCTTCCTTTTTTTTTTGGAACCGCAAAAACTCTTTTCAATAATATGCCAGCAGGCATTTGGCACAATGTTACAAAGTAAAATGAAATCAAAACAAATGACGACACGATACCACAACACAAGCAATTATATATAATTGATCAGTTGCCCAGCACCAAAAAACACCCTAGCAGGGGTGACCTGGTGAGTAATACTACCGAAGTGATTCAGTTTGGCTCTAAACTCTTGATTAGGACCTTCCCACATAAATCACCAGCAGCCCACAATTCCAACGAGATCCACGACATCAAGCCCATATTTAGTTGACGTACAAAATATCTTGTGCCATAAATGTTAGCGGCAATCATTTTTTTAGCGACATAAATAGTATTAAATAAAGAAAAAGCTGGGCCAGAAATAAAGTCCACAATATATACAACAAAAAAAAAAATGACAAGCAAAACAGGACCTACATATATATTCTAAACAAATGGCAATCATTTAAGTTCACATCACTCTGGAGGGAATGCCACTGAAGATAAATAGATCGATCTGCAATCGTTATTTCAAATCATAGATCTCCTACAAAATAATTTCTTACGCTCAAACTCTTTAATGGCCAATCGTTCCTTATCCTATACATCATTCTTTACCATTTTGCAGCTCTTATGGAGTTATACCTTGTATGCCAATGGATGCTACACTTCAATCATCAGCTTCGGAGACTCCCTAGCAGACACTGGTAACCTAAAACAGCTTACCTCTGAACTAAATCAACCTCCATTACATTTATTTTTACCACCTTATGGTGAAACCTTTTTTCATGAGCCCACTGGTCGTTGCTCCAATGGTCGCCTCATCATTGATTTCATTGGTAACCTCTCTCCCCATCTAACTTAATTGGTTGCCTCTATATATATATGTGCATAGTCCTTTATCAAGGCTCTTCCTTTCTCTATGTGTAATTAGATAATTAAATAAACCATTATTACGTATACACATACGCAATGAAAAATAATGAAAATTGAGAAAATCTTTAACTAAGGATTCGTGTAAGATATAGCAAGTCTAATGTCAATGATATTGTTGATCTTTTTTGTGTGAAGCTGAGTACCTAAACCTGCCATTGGTACGACCATTTTTCAATGGCAATGGGGGCATGGAATTGGGACAAGGAGTAAATTATGCGGTGGCATTTGCAACTGCATTAAATAATTCATTTCTTGAAGCCAGAGGGGTTTATAACCCTATAACGACAAATATATCTTTAGGAGTTCAGCTGGAGTGGTTCAAAGAATCGATTTGTGCAAATGTTTCAGGTAATAAAATCATACTTACATACACCTCAATATACATAAAATGCAATAACTGAACAGAAAGATTGAAAAAAAAAAAAAAAAGTTGTGTGTTGTTAGAGTGGTCGGAATGGATCTAGGTGGAGTCTAGGTTGGAACCCGATATCCCACAAAATTTCACTTCATTGTCTACTTGTATCTTATGCATGTATATTTGTACCAAGTTATATGAATGGGAGGATATCATTTCATGTGTTAAGGTTGGAATGATTGGACTGAGAGGGATATGTCATTAGGGTTGGGACGTGGGAGGATGGAATCCCACCACCTTTATACACATGAGAACAATGTGGAGGAAGAAAATGACTTATCTAGGCAACAACACCTAGGGTGTGTTTGGTAAATTAGTTAGAAGGTGGAAGTTAAAAGTTGGTAGTTTTAATTTGTATATGAGGCAACAACACTTAGGGTGTGTTTGGTAAATTAGTTAGAAGGTTGAAGTTAAAAGTTGGCAGTTTTTATTTGTATATGAATATTAGACAAATATAAAAAAAAAATAATCATGTAAAATTACATAAAATAATTTATCTAAAACACAACAATGATTTAAAAAAAAGGAATCAAGTCAATTTGCAAAATAATAAAATAGTTTTTTTTAAAGGTTACTTAGAATTAGAAGTAGCTTTTAGATTATAAGTTTTTTATTTTAACTAAAACTAAAAGCTCTTACTCCTAACCAACTTTAATCTTTTTTAGAGTTTTTATAAAAGATTAAAGATAGAAACTCTCCAAAACTATGTCGGAACACATATTCATTGCTTCATTAAATATTCTCCTACATTTTCTTCCAACTCTTCATCCTACCATATCAAATGGTGACAAGTTCAATTTCATTAAATATGACATATGTCAACATTTGATATGGGAGGAAGATGCCTATGAATAAAATGTAGAAGACTATTTAATTTCTCAAATGTTTATACCACTACATATCTTTAAAAGCAAAAACCTAAAAGGAAATTGCATCAAATTAACTAGCTCCTAATTACAACTATGTCCTAAACGAGGCAGAAATGTTACTTGGAATCGTTGGTGTGTAGACCCAAAAAACATTTGTAATGTTTTTTCAGGTGTTGGCTAAAAAGACACCCTATATTACAATATGGACACCCTAATTAATTTTTTAAATATTTTTATTGGCTGAAATTACATTGTTTTCCGAAAAAACTGATTATAAACAATTAATTATTGATTGACTTTTTATAAAAGTGTCAATAGGTTTCTAAAGAGTGTCTTGTTAGCAACACTCTCTTTTTTCAAGTAGCATCTTGTTCGTTGGTGTCATTTATTATATTTCGTACTGTCTTTCCACCCAAAAAAAATTACTCATGTCCAACCTATGTAGGCCTAGGTGAGTAATCGAGACTGCCTCGTCGCAAGCCTAACTATAAACTATGTTTAGATCTGCTGGTTTTTGAGCCTCATATACAAAACTTGAGTGAGCTCGTGTATGGTTAGATAGGCTCGGATTTATTTACCTCAATTTCAAGTCGGCGAGCTTTTAATCGTACCAAATCAAATAGCTCGTTTCTATATTAGCAGTTTAGCACAAACATTAGAAATTGCTACTTTAGTTTAGACATTTTCTGTCTTTTTCCGTAGGGTATATATTAAAGCATCCACTATTCTAATAAAGATCGAGATTCAAAAAGTAAATGGAGTACTAATTCTCAAATGCTATTATGGGGAGGTGGTTCATCCACGTAGCTAGAAAATTGTCCAAGTTTTATACCCCTTCAAACTCTCAATCGGACCCACTTATTACTGATTGCTTTGTGATTTCATTTATACATTTTTATGTTATATAATTTACATATTACAAATTTTCTTTTTCTTTTTGTCATAAATTTATAACAAATAATGCATATAATTTATAATAAAATACATCAGTAAAAAGATTTATATGTTGGAAATGAGACCAAATTGTAAATGTTGTGTCAAAAGAATAAAACAATTACCAGGAATTTTGTTTTTATTTTTAGAGAGGAGCAAAACATAACAAATTATATCAATATCTAATTTATATAAATTTACTTTTAATTTTATAAAAAGGAAAAAGTATTTTGTCCAATTTTATATTTAATTTTATACTAAATACTAACCTTTATAAAAAAATATATAAATGTTATTTTTGTTTTATTTTATGAGTTAATATAACAATTATAGGTTAAATAAGAACCACTTGTAAACCTCTAAAAAGGTTTTGAGAGTAGAATTATACTAAGATATAAAAATTGATATGTTAGCAATGTGATATGATGGACCTATGAATGAAATTCAGTGCGTTTTTCCTCTTTTTTTTAGCTCGTTTGGCTCTTGAGTTCTGTTTAACTCCTACAATGACATTAGGGGTGTCAACAGGAACAAACGGGACGGAAACACCTACTTCCAACCCCGATCCCAAAAATAAACGAGGTTTAATACCGCCCCCACTCCCGCTCCCGATTTTTTAAAAAAATTAGTCACGTACAGTATCGAGGTCCCACAGGGGTTTTTGACATCCCTAAATGACATTATCAGGTAAACTTTATGACCACAGACCCAAAAAATATTATATAGAATTGGCCCTTAAGCGGTTACATCTGAGTATCTCACCATAGACCCAAAAAGAATTTATATAGAGGCATTCGGTAACCGGATCCGGGCCTTAACCAACCCGCTAATAAAAATGTGGAGTAAATTACATGGATGGTCCCTGTGGTTAATGGTTACTTGCACGCTTGGTCCCTAAAAAGTTTTTTTTTAACTCGGACCATCCCTAAAACCTAAATTTGTTAACCGCCCAATCCCTAAATTAACTTTGTCATCTATTTTGTTGTTAGTAACCCCCACATGAGTAGCACGTTGGGGGCATTTTTGTCCATCCATGTTTACAGCCACTTTAAGACCCACCCAACATTCTTTTTATCAATTTCTTCTTTCTCGTTCTTCTCTGTGCACCAGTGCACCAGGATAACTTCTCATTTGATTCTAATGTAGGTTCAAGTAGGGCACCTACACTGAAAAATCCTTCTTTACTATTATCAATCCAAGTTGGAACTTTCACCTGTTATGAAAAAATCAGCAAAGAACAACAGATTCGTTAAAACTCATAAACTCATATTCACCTATTATACAAAGAGTTAACAACATATAAGATATAAAATTAAGTTTCTAACATGTCTTAAAACTAGCTTCAGGGACTAACTTGATTTGGACCGAATAATTTCTTCCAACTAAGCAATCCATATAAGTTTTACATCATAAAATCAAGTTTGCATATTGCAAGCTTCTAAAAGATGTACAGTACACTGAATTGGAAAATTCCATACAAAGAATTCCTAAATTTTTACTTCGTCAAATGCTATAATCCAAACTAAAAAACCTCATATCTTTCTTTACTTCTTTCTCTCCCTCTCTCTCCAACCAAGAAGGAGCTCTGAAAGCACTAGTCTTCGAATTCCTAATGTCTGCCTCTATATCCAGACAAAAAAAATCCTTGTGCATGTTCCTCTTCCTAAATCGATCCCCAGGTGCAAGGCTGCCTTTGTATGGATAAATCCTCTCTAAATCTTAAGACACAATGTCATTGTCCTCTACCATCAAGACTCACTCATAGTTGAAAGTCCACCAAGCTTCTAGAATTTATATATTCCTCTTACTCGCTAATATTTGCCTCCTTTATTGGGAATATACACCGTCTCTCTGAACCAACGTCCTACAAAGAGGTTGTCATTGATCCTTTTTGGAAGAACTCTACGACTGAGGAACTTGCAGCTCTTTATTAGACTCAGACATGAGATTTGGTTCCGATCCCTCCTAGAAAGCACACAATTGGTTTTTGTTAAAATCAAAACCAAGTCTGATGGGTCTATTGAACGTTATAAAGCTAGACTTGTTGCTAAAGGATATTCGCAAGAGTATGGTATAGATTATGAAAATACATTTGCTCTAGTTGCAAAAATGACGACTATTCGCACTCTAATTGTTGTTTTTTCTATCCGACAATGGAAGATTTATCAAATGGATGTCAATAATGCATTCTTGAATGGAGATCTTTAGGAGGTGGTATACATGTCTCCTCTACCAGGTATTGTTCACCCGGCCAGGTGAAGTTTGTCGGCTTCGGAGAGCATTATATGGTCTCGAACAATCCCCCCATGCTTTGTTTGAGAAATTTTCTATGGTAATTATTTCATTTGGTCTCAAACATGTCGCTCAATTTTTTTTAATGCGCACAACTTTCAGAAAACATAACAATTGACATGCCTCTAGAGAATTAATAATGCCAAGTATTCTCCGACTGACGGTGTTTCCTTGTGTGATACGCGTCTTTATTGTACCATTGTCGAGAGTTTAGTATATATCTTACCATCACTAGGCCAAATATTGCTTACACGGTTCATATGGTTAGCCAGTTTGTTACTGCTCCTTCTACAGTTCATCGGGGAGTTGTTCTTCGTATTTTTAGATATCTTTGTGGTACTTAGTTTCGCACTGTTATGTTTACTTCCACTTTCTCTCTTGATTTGCATGCCTATAGTGATGCTGATTAGGATAGCAATGTTTATGATCGCAAGTCTACTACTGGGTATTGTATTTTTTTTCTTAGAGATTCATTGATTTCATAGAAAAGTAAAAAACAAGATGTTGTCTCCCGATCATCTACAAAATCTGAGTATCGAGCTATGGTTGTCATTATGTGTGAGATTGTGTAGTTGTAATGGCTACTTGCGGACATGGGTGTTCATATTCCTTAGCATACCGCATTTGCATTGTGACAATGAGATTGCGATAATGATTGCCAAGAATTCGGTGTTTCATGAGCGGACAAAACATATTAAATATGAAAGCCTTGACTGCTCATCGATTTCATTTCTTGTCAGATAAACTCCCAATACTTATTGTTATCACATTATGAGTTTGAGGGGGGATGTTAGCCTAATAAGTTTATTGGGCCTTTCTTGTTTTGGGTACTTGTTAGTCCTTTATTCAATAATGAAACTATAGCAATATTTTGTTCATTAGTTTACAAGACCTCCCCTAATAAGCCTTTCTAAAACTAATATCGGTAAATATATACATATATACATACATATCTAGCTGACTACCTATATATATATATATATATATAGATATAATATATATATATATATATATATATATATATATATAATATATATATATATTATATATATAGAATATATGTCTTTCCATTTTTTTGTATTTGTATTTTTTTATTATTCAATAATGAAACTATAGCAATATTTTGTTCATTAGTTTACAAGACTTCCCCTAATAAGCCTTTCTAAAACTAATATCGGTAAATATATACATATATACATACCTATCTAGCTGACTATATACCGATGTGTGTACGAGTGGTTTCATATGGTTTGGAATTGGCTCCCGTTTCCATTATTGTTTTTTTGAACCTGTTATCCACTTTGTACCCACCACGATCGCAAATGCTAGAATTGAAAGGGTTCAAAACTAATTGACAAGCAAAACAATATGGAGTGGAAGACTAAAACGAAATTAATTAAATTGATTCCCAAAAGAATGAGGAATCTAGATATTGTCTAGAGTACTCTCTCCTTTATGGATGGATGCTCTAGTGATTAAACTACGATTACATTAAATCTAATAAATTAAACATAGCATCAGCCATATTGTATTTAATTAATAAAAATACCTTATATAAATTGAAGCCCTTGATGTAGAAACTTGAGATCAAATATATGATCTCCTCCATTGGTATCCATACGAACTGAAAACATAAACGAGTGTTAGACCTTCTTCAAACTACAAGCAATATCACCTTGTTCTTCTTTGTGCTTGAAAGAACTCGACCAAATCCTTTGGATTATTTAGTTCAGTGAACATAATTATTTAAACAAATAATAAATAATCAATTTATTTAGTTTAGTAAATAAAAACTTATATTTATTTTGCTTGCTTAATAGATATTAAATAAACTCTTTGATTTAAACATTTATTTGATTAAATTAAATAATGCTATTTGTCAATTTATAAATATTATTTATTTGATGTCTTTTAATATTTTCTTCGTGTAACCACGAATATTCATATATACTTACCATATCATAAATTTTTTATTCCCCACACACAATAATCAACCAACCTTAATTAATCACTTATGCAAAAAAAAACATAACTAATCAACTATACATATATTTTTATTTTTAAGCATCTAACAACAGGTTAATGCATATAAATGTTTGTCTTGGGTTTTTCATCACAATTGTAACAAAAACTAACTTTGTTTGTTATCATAGGTAATAAGCGGTATGTAGCAAGACATCTTTAATATCCCAGTGACTAATATTTTGTAGTTAAAATATTCACAAATATATACTGTTAAAATGATCAAGTCATTATCAATAACTTTAAAATAATAATTTTTATAACTACTCAAGATAAGATAAAATTAATATAATTCAAAATAAATATTTATCTTGATATATGAAATTAATTGTCATTCATGTCGGATTCCACATGAATAAAATAGTATAAAAATTTTATTCAATTTAAATTTAAATTTGTTAAAGCTTATAACACTATTCATTTGATTTTTTTTTATGATGATGCTCTTTTCAAATATCGACCACTATTTTCAAGATATACATAACTTTTTTTTTTGTAATATTTGATTAAATAAAATTTTAATTTAATTAATATAACTCTATTAATAACTAAGATGCTACCTCTTAACATTTGGAATTTGTTTTAATTTTTAAAGACTAAATAATTAAAACAAAGAAAAAACTCACGGAGAAAAGAAAAAAAAATGCCCGAATCAGTTCATTGTTATCTTCTTACATAATTTTAATGTTAATAAAATAACTATGAATGATTAAAATAAATTTCAGATATGGTTATTTATTTTATAACAATAGTATCTTTGTAAACAAAAATTTTATATAATTTTATGATGTTTAATAAAAATCTATGTATCTATATATTGTTTATTATTTTTTAAATTCATATGATATACTACTATTTTGTTAATTTTAATATGAAATAAAATTTGTATTAAACAGGTAGTAGTTAAATAGCCATTAAAATTAACACTATATTTAAATTAATAAGGTAAATAGATGATGAAGAGTTTTATATTCACTTGTCATAAAAATAAAACAAAAGAATAGTCTTTTTATCGCGGTATTAAAATGAATAAGTATGAATACTATATATTATGAATTATGTTATTCAATATCACTTTTAACTAACAAAATTATGTTTATGTTTTTATTTAAGAAAATGATTACGTTTAATAAAATTTATATATTTTTGCATATATATTATTTTTTTTGTTAAAAATAAATTGGAAAAAAATATCATGTAGCTGTTGAGAATTATCTAACATTATTTTGTGAAAAATAATAAATAAAAGAGTTTAAACTAATGTGAAGAAAATTATTTATCTTGGACAAGATATAATGTTAATTATAAAAAGTAGTATAATTGTTAATTATACAACAAAACACAGAAAAAATATAAAACATAATAATAATAATAATAATACATCTGTATCAGTGAAATTATTATTAAGAATTCGATCTCATATTTAATCTTCTCTCAATTATGCAGATTGCAGTCACCTAATCGAACATTCCTTATTTCTCATGGGTGAGATTGGAGGAAACGATTATAACCACGCCTTACTTGCTGGGAAATCCATCGATGAGGTTGGAACATATGTTCCATTTGTTGTCCAGACCATTATCTTAGCGATTAATGTAAGAATACACACAAGATGAACATTTTTGTTTTCCCTTGATTTTTTTGTATAAACAACCGCGAGAATTATCATAAGAGTGGCTTAACTTCATACTTAAAGTGGAAAAACAGGAACTTGTTGAGATGGGGGCCAAGACAGTACTTGTACCAGGAAACCTACCAATTGGATGCTCTGCAGCATATTTAACATTGTACAATAGCTTTGATTCTACAGAATATGATAATTTAACTGGTTGCCTTATACAATTTAACAAGTTTGCCGAGTACCACAATGAACTTCTAGTGACAAAATTAAACCAAATTCAAGAACTTCATCCTGATGCCAATATCATCTATGCTGACTATTACAATGCAGCCATGCAATTTTTTCGTTCTCCGGAAAAATATGGTACATCACATGCATATCTCTATTATAAAGGGAGAAATAACATCACAATATTAACGCATGTGGATAAAATGGCTTACATGTCTTGACTAATGCTAACAATATTTTGATACGTTACAGGATTTGAAAATGGAGCTCTAAAAGCATGTTGTGGAGGTGGAGGGACATTTAACTATAACGATTCAATACTATGTGCAAACCCAACAGCATCTGTCTGTTCTAAACCATATACATATGCTAATTGGGACGGATTACACTTAACGGAAGCAGCATATAAAGTTGTCAGCAAGAGCTTATTGCAAGGACCATACACGGTGCCCCAATTCAACTCCCTTTGCCCTACTTCAATGTTAAAAGAGGGAGATGAATTATCAAGTTTTATGTAAGTGGCAGGAAATTTATTAATCCTTATTATCAGGCCAAGAATACAAGTAACTAAACATGGAATATGTATAGTATATTTCATGATAAATTAAAACTCTATATAACTGTGTCATCCAACATATGTATAAACACCTTATGTCATACATTTATTCACAAAATTTCACTAATAATGTAACGACCCAATTTTCCAATAAAATTTTTCATTTTAAATAACAAAATCATTTCCAATAAACATGAGATACCAATAACAATTGTTTTCAAATCCACAACATCAAATATTTTATTCATAATATCAGAGTGTCTCCAAATAAAATCGTCGGAGAGTGCATGCCGCGCCATCAAGCCGGGCCCTTGCCCTTAGGCTCTGAAGTACCTGAAACAACCAACAAATTGTAAGCTAATGCTTAGTAAGTTCCCCAGAGCATACCCCACACAATCCACATAATCACATAATTCATATTAGCTATATTAGCTACACAAACCACATAAGCCATGTATACAAACATATAAGGATGTCATGGAAACCCTCCAAGGTCTTATACCGAGTGCCACTGGAACCCCCACGTGGTCTTACTACCTGCCATGGGAACCCCCACATGGTCTTCACTAACTGTCATGGGAACCGCCACATGGTGTTTACTAAGTGCCATGGGAACCCCCATATGGTCTTTACTAACTGCCATGGGAACCCCCGCATGGTCTTCACTATCTACCATGGGAACCCCACATAGTCTTAGCTAACCCAAGAAATATCATACAAGCTAAACATGCAAACATACTAGGATGCCATGGAAACCCTCCAAGGTCTTATACCAAATGTCATGGGAACCTCCACATGGTCTCAATCTACTGCCACGGGAACCCCCTAGGGTCTTCCATACAAATTTCATACCAACATATCACATAATCAACTAACAATCCACATATCGTATACTGTGTCGGACTTGGTGCCTTAGACCCATTGGTGTGGTGAGAAGACTCGACTCTCAAGAAATGTTGAACCGATAAGATCAATCCCACTTCACAGCTCCAACTCAACTGCCTACAACCACCATGTGACTAACTTTGTCAAAATCCCGAAATACCAAAAATACCCTTAAAGTCAAACTTGGTCAACCATGGTCAAAGTCAAGGTCAACAGTCAAGGTCAGCTATCCATGTTGACCCAACTCGTCGAGTGCATCTAGCAACTCGTCGAGTTCCTTCAGTGTTCAGCAAATCGGGAAAAACCCTAACCAAGTCACCGAGTTATCTTATCAACTCATCGAGTTCACTTTGTATCCAGAAGACGGGAAAACCCTATCCACCTCTTCGAGTTGTCAGGGCAACTCGTCGAGTTTTCCCTGTCTTAACATATTCAGCCCCTTCCACTCGAATCTAAAGCCCCAAACTACAGATCTAGCCCCTAGGGTTAATATACCACTTAAAGTTTCTAACTCTACATCCATGCAAGGCATCAAAGGGATAAAACACTCAAACAAGGCTTATCAAGGGACTTAGAGCATAAAGGAGAGCCAAAACTTGATAAAGTTGGCAACTTTAAGTCTACAAAGGCCCTGAGATGTCCAGATCTGAGGCCATATCTTCATAACATGCTCAAATCCAACAATGGTCCCAAACTAGGCTAATAATGGCCATAAACTTTCATAGGAGAAGATCTAAGTAATAAAAGGCCAAGGTATCGACTTTATACCTTAGAATGGTTGCCACAACAAAGTAAACACCGGATCTACAGCCTCTCCCTTCAACTATGCACCAATCACTTCAAGCTTCTTCACATAAACACCACAAAGGCACTCCTCAAGCTCTTACACACTCAAAATGGTAGGAAAAGCACGAACTAGGGTTTCTCTGGACAAAGGGGCGGTAAGGGAGGCTAACAATAAGGCTTAAGGTCTTTAAATAGGGTGCAAACCCTAAAAATTAGGATTTTCCTTTCCATCTTCTACTCGTCGAGTAGGGGCCTTCCAACTCATCGAGTAGACCATTAACCCCGCGTCCAAAATGATTCCTACACGACGAGTTGGAGCTCCCTAATTCGTCGAGTTCCAGTCCAAAACCCTACAGTTTTAAGAAATAATTGATACCTGAATCAAGTGTTACAAATCTCCCCCACTTAAACTAGACTTCGTCCTCGAAGTCTGTTGACGCAAAAAAATCTGGTTAATACTCTCGCATCTCCTCCTCCGGCTCCCATGTCCTTCCGAGCCCTTCCGGTGCTGCCATTGCACCTTCACTAGCTTCACCTCCTTATTACGAAGAACCTTATTTTCCCTATCCAAGATCGCAACGGGCCTCTCAATGTAGTTCAGGCTCTCGTCCACCTGAATGTCATCCAAAGAAATGACCGCAGCCTCGTCTGTAACACACTTCCGAAGCTGAGACACATGGAAGGTGTTGTGAATCTGGCTAAGCTCGTCCGACAGATCCAAATGGTAAGCCACCTTGCCCACCCGAGCAGAAATCCTGAACGGACCAATATATCGAGGCCCTAACTTGCCCCTCTTTCGAAACCTAATGATACCCTTTCATGGTGACACTTTCTGCAAAACGAAATCTCCCACCTGGAATTCGAGATCCGAGCGAGGCCTATCAGCATAACTGTTCTGACGGCTCTGCACCACTCGCAGCCTGTCGCGCACTTGCTGGATCAGCTCGGTAGTCTTAAGCACCACCTCGGTTCTTCCCATGACTCGGTGCCCAACCTCACCCTAACAAACAGGGGTCCTACACCTCCAACCATACAACATTTCAAACGGGGGTCGGTCGATACTAGCATGAAAACTATTGTTATATGAAAACTCTGCTAGTGGGAGGTATGTATCCCAACTCCCTCCAAATCCAGCACACATGCCCGTAGCATATCCTCGAGCGTCTAGATCGTCCGCTCGCTTTGGCCGTCTGTATGAGAGTGGTACGCAGTGCTAAAGTGTAATTGAGTTCCCAACTCTTCGTGGAACTTCCTCCAAAACCTGGATGTAAATCGAACATCACAGTCCGAGACCACCGATACTGGCACTCCGTGCCTGACCACGGCCTCTCGCACATATATATATATCTGCCAATTTCTCAGCAGAAATACTCTCGGAGATCAGAATAAAATGGGCACTCTTCGTCAATCTATCTGTCACACTCCCGAACCGGAACGCGGGAAACGTCTGAGGGTGGATGACGTCATTTCACAGTATCATAACAATTGAATATAAATGAAACATAGCAGCAGACACATTCATACATTGAGATTTCAAGTATTACATTGTTTATAAAACTTTGTTTGTTCAAAAGTAGAATACAAATAACTGAAAAGTAGAAAACATGGAACAACGACGCCTACCCTCAAAATGATTTGAATACCTGTTTACTGATTTACTGAGAATACAAGTGATTTTGAAAAGTGTCAACAATTAAGTTGGTGAGTTCATAAGCATTTTGTATGAGAAGGATTTGTAATGTTTTCGTGTAAAATGATTTTGTATACTTCTAGAAAATCTGATATTTTCTTTAATATGAACTGTAAATGTATGTATTTCCTTTGTATCTTTTCCTTGTAAAATGATAATGTATGTTTCCATAAAATCCAATATTTTCTTGAATATGAATTGTAGTCTTCAACCATAAGTCCAAAATGTAAGTAATGTTGTACTGAAAATAGTATGTAGTTTCATTTCTTTTTATAAAACTAATGAAGTGTAAGTTACTCCGTAAACCAAGTCGTTTTGTTAATCCCTATGCGAGTTATTATAACCATGCTAATATGATTGATATGCCTGAACGACGTTCTTCAGGCGTCGGAGCTGGTATACATTTGTCACCCTAGACTTGCCGGTCTAACTGTAGCTAACAGCTGAGGTGCGGGGTTGTCAATCCCATATAGATCTATACACAACTATCTCGCTCTCCCTCAAGGAGACTCTGGTTATAATGCAGGACTTAAGGTGTACACTAGGTAGGTACAGTGAAGCGAATGTCTCACAAGATCATCAACAGATTTACATGAACTATGACTCCTTTTTCCTGTAAAATGAAATAATTATACCTTTGAATAATTATATGGTTCTCCTAAAATGAAAGTGTGGTTTTATGACTCCCAAACTATATCGATTATAGTTTATCTTATATGTTTGTTGAGACTATTTATATAATCTTTTATATAAATGTAAAAGTTGTAATCTTGTCTAGGGTCAAAATATGTAATCAAAATATGATGTCTTTGGGTTGTAACCCACCAAAATAGTAAATAACTATATTGTAACCATTTTTGCTAGAAAAGCTATCTTTTAGTAAAAAGTTTCCAAAACCTTGTAGCTTTACAAATCTTATTTTCCTGATGATATTTACAACATATAATGAGTTATGTTTTTGGTTAACTTTGCATATCAACACTAATTTATCACAAATGTTGTATAAAAGTAGTGATAATCCTAACTTGAGCAAATAATGGTCTATACTTCAACATAAAGAAGTAACAACAAGTATTTATGTAGTAAATCAATTTTAACTTGTATCCCCCCCCCCTAAAAACATTAAAAAGCTTGAAAATGTGGGGGTATGAACTCACCTTGAGTGATTTTGTGGGTTATTTGAGAAGATGGTGTGAAGGTTTCCAAGCCTAACAGTTGAAGGTGGTGGTTGAACTTTCTTGGCAAGAATGTTATCCTAAGAGTTTAACACATAATAATATGTGGGTAAATATAATGAAACTAACATAAAAGTTTATAAATACACTAGATTTGAAGGAATACTTACCAAGAATCTAAGAATAATCTTGGAGAACTTGAACTTGGAAGATGTGCTTAATCTTGAGAGAGTTTAGAGTAGAATGAAGGAATGAAAAATGGTGGGGAGTTTATAGGTGATAATCTCGTATATATAACAGGAGGGAAGTGTGATAGGATGTTTGCCTAGTTACCTGTTGGTTAAAGCATGGATATTTATTTGTTATTACATTGATATACGTTGGGTAATGTTTGCATGGGAAAGGAGGATAAACATCTAATCAATAAGTCAACACTTCTTATCTGCTTCCCAAGACCGAAATCACCTTGTTTCCCTATGTGATTTCGGCCCTATATTCCTCCAAAATTGTTGTTTTCGGCCTTAGTGGGCTTACGCTTGGAGTTTTCGGCCTAGGTATCACCCATTAAAGGGTTTTCGGTCCTAGTGGTTTTGAGTTAAGATGATTTCGGTCTTGATGCTTCGTGGGAGGGTGATTTCGGCCTTAGGTGGACCGAAATCCCATTCTTTGTAGGGTACTAGGCTTAAACTATAAAATAATGTTTAATTTTTATGATTTATGTTCCCACCTTTTGACTTGTTTTGCCATGCTATCACTTGTTCAATTTTAAAGGTTTATTACGAATATGATCTTCAAAGTATATATTCCTATATATACACTTATCCAAACCATGCCCTCTTGGTTTTCAACTCTTACTGCAACAAAGTTACATAGATATACATTATGGGTATACATATACACAAGACCTCTTAGACCTTGTTTGACCCAAAATTTTCTAGTTGTCACACTATCCATGATGACCCTGTTGGATTAGATGTATAAGCCTATAAATATAATTGGTATGTACTCGACTTGAGAGTAGCATGGTCCATTTTGGTTGCCTTCACCAGAACAATCTGATAGGATAGATATTTGAGAAAGAAGTTATTTATGATTTATTAATATATTACAAGTATAATATATTAATTGTGAAATCATATTATTTATTAGTATTGTCAAGAATTAATTTGGAATTAATTTAGTGATCAAAAGAGACTAATTAAATTAATGGGGACTAATTATGTAAATCAGTGATATATATAGTGTTTGGGCTATTGATCCATGTTGGGCTAAGTTTGTGTAAATATCCATGAAGAGTTAGCCCACATGAGATATGGATCATAACCTAAGTGTAAGAATTAGGGTTACATGTGACTCTTGGATTCTACACTATATATGTAACCCATTTATGCACAAAAATGACACACTAGTGATCTTGGAGATGCTATAGCCGAATTTTGGTGCCTAGAAACTCTCTCTCAAAGTCCTCCTTTGTTCATGGTGTTTGTGACTTGTTTGAGGCATCACATTTGAGGTGCTAAGTTCTTAAGGCCAATACATCAAGCTACAACAAAGAGGTAATCATCTAATCTTTTTTTATGATTCAAGTATCAAATTGTATGCTAGTTGTAGGCTTCATGCTTTGGATATTTTATTGCATGTATAACTAGAGAAAACTTAGATCCAAAGCATTAGGGTTGTATGTGCACCATAGGAGTGTTGTATTATACATAAAACCCAACAGTGGTATCAGAGCCATGTGTTGTTTTCTATTATATTTCATGCATGGCTAATTGTTCAGAGATGGAAAAAAAATGAAATTATGCACTCTACCAGGGTGAACTCGGCGAGTCCACTCATGAACTCGACGAGTTCATCATGAACTCGATGAGTCCATTATCCGACTCGACGAGTTCAATAGTCTGTTGGCAGATTTTCGGATTTTTTGGCCAGAATTGGACTTGGATTATTACCTTAAACTGTTTTGTATCATAAAATATGTTTTTTTTTCTGATATGGTAATGATTATTCCATCCAATTAAAAGATAAACTGTCAAATCTTGAAATTTTTTATGATAAACTAATTGTTTGTAAAATTTGATTTGAAGTTATCTTACTATAAGAGTTGCATTAAGTCAAATTTGTAAAAGATAAAAGTATGATTATTTTATTGGTTTTAAAATTTGATCTAAATGTTTTTAGGAGTTACAAAACTTGCCATCAAGTTTTGGAACTCAAAAGTTTTATGGAGTTACAAATCTTGTCATCAAGTTTGGAACTCAAAAGGTTTTCAAGAGTTACAAAATTGCCCTCAAGTTTTGGTATTTGAAAAGTCTCAAATTATGAAACATTGATTTCTAAAACTCTTGTAATTAAAAGGTGCAACTCTTGGGTTCATAACTTAAAATTAATAAAAATAGTTTTAATTTTGTATTTTATGTTTAGAACCCTAATGTCTTTTGAATAGTTCAAGTTACCTCTTATGGATTGTATTAAATTAATTAAAGTGTTTAATTAAAGGAGAAGATTAATAAATCCATAACAACATGGTTTAAGTTTAATTAAATTAAGAGTATAATTTATTAATAGATTAAACCACCAAGTATTTTAAAAGTTTAAAATACACCCTTATACTATATAAAATTAAAAGTTTAATATATTATATATGTATAAGTAAAAGGTCAGTCTTACCGTTAGTAGGTCTCATTCACGAAGCCGGTGTATAAGGGGTATAAGGTTACTGCCTATAAAATGGTGGTTTAATGGGTGTCCACTCTCACTCACCGCGTCCTTGACTGGTGGAGGGTCGTTAGCCGAACGGGTAGGATAGGACACTAAACCCTCAATAAAAGTATAATGAATCATAAAGTAACTAAATATTTTATAAATTCCCAATCTTAGTTACTTTAGGAAAAATGTGAATTTGATGCTAACCCATGAAATTGCACTTTGCACCTTGCCAAGTCGTTAGTGGAGCGTGTGTGGTTAACCGACACACTAACTTGGACTAACAAGGGTAGCAAAGGGTAGATCGATGTTTGTCATATATCAATGGAGCATATGTGGTTAACCGGCACATTGATTAGGTGATAAATGACATCGAGAGCACCAAGCTAACTTTCATGGTTATTCACACCTTGTTTGCGATCCTCGGTATCCCAGTCACAAACTTGAAGGGCATAATCGAGATTAAACATGTCATTGAAAAGTTCAATGAATCTCACAGCATCTAGGAATTTCAATTCATTTTAAAACCTAAAATTCATTTTCGTTTTTCATGGTGGAAATTGGTAAATCATCATTTGCCTACCTTCAAATATTTTGCAATTGGATTACGGCATCCCTCTTCCGAATTGTAAAATATTGTGTTGGGTCCTAGCCTTAATATTTCATTTTTGGTGTTATATTAAGGACTTAATTCAACTTACTTGAATTTCTCCCTTGTAGATGTCTAGTTCTGACAACTATGGTCTTCCTGAATCTTTTGGAAAAAGCTTTCCTCATGAAGATGTGTCCCACGATTGGATCGTGGAGATGGAAATCATGCTTCACTTTCCTCCACCTCCTCCAATAATTCTCCCTGACCCACAATTTCGTCGACTTGAAAAGTTCAAGGTCACTCAAGCCCTATTGGCTAGCAAACACCAATATGGAAGGTCTGTGTGTGCACATGTCTTGGAGATGAAGTCACACATTGACAGGCTGGGAATGTTAGGAGTCGTTGTGTCGAGGAAGTTGGATGTTGACTTGGTTCTTTAGTCACTTCCCGAGTCGTATAGTCCGTTTGTTAAAGACTACTATATGACAGACCGCAACGTGACCCTTATAGATCTTACCTATTTGCTAATTGTTGTTGAATCAGAAATGATTTGGCACATTGGTCAAGCAAATTTGGTTGGAAGATCTACCTTCCAAACTTCCATGGACATTGACAATGGAAACATTGGAAGTCCAGAAAAGTCTTCTATTCCCAATGGAAAGGGATCGGCCATGGTCAAGCCATTTGATCTAATGGTAAAGAGAAAGACTAAGTCTGAGATTGTCCCGTGTGCCATTCCAAAAGAATATGTTTGCTTCTACTGCCAAGACAATGGGCATTGGTTGCATAGCTGCCGAATCTACCTGAAGGATCATAAGGATGGTAAAGTCAAAGTGTATGACTTCGCTTCATGTAAGTCCACTGTCTAACTTTATTAAGTTCCTATTTTGAGATTCTTAATACATGATGTAATGTAATTACATTTTCATGTTTTGTAGGATCGAAGAAAAGGAAGGA